TTATTTTGATATATCACAGTGAAAGATTTATCGTCCTCTTTTTTTTTTTTTTTTTTTTTTTTTTAAAAAAAAAAAAAAAAAAAAAAAAAAAAGCTACCACTACTGGAACCAAAATCATAACCTGTCCATAATAATACAACAGTCTTAGTGCAAGTTACATGAAAAGCACAGCAATCACCAACCCTTTGTGAGTGTGCAAAGCACACCACAATTTTCCAAACAAATATAAGTCTCATCTGACTTCAATTTTTTGGTGTGCAGGTTTAAAGTATTTTACTCTCAGCTTATTAAAAAACTAGCTCTGAACACTCACGTACCAAGGAGCACATTAAGTGACAGCAAAAACGCTGAACTGCAGTACCAAGCACAGGCCCTTAACAGACGCTCATTCCACTGTAACAGTATACAAATAAACCCCTAAGGACCTCTGCATATTTTACTGGTTGATTAAAATCAACGCAGTCATTTCCGTTTATAATGAGAAAATATAAATATTAAGAAACAGTTTTTCCCATTGTTGTCATAGCATGTGTTATGGTTTCTGAACTTAACTCAACATTTTAAATCAGATGGAAAGTCCAACAACAGTCAGTTAAAAGAGGAATGTGGTAATTAAAACTACAGTAGGGAATGTATTCAAACAGAATGCATGATTTAATGTCAAATAATATGTTTTAAGTAAATAAAAATGCAACGGAGCTCTGTTAAAATTACCTTTTCTACAGCAGGCACAAACTGCTTTGGAACATTGGACCCAAATGTTTCATCAGAAAACTCCAACTTAGTGTAGTTCTCCGGGTCTAGGGGCTCCAGGACGCCTATGACTTTTCCATACTGGCCTGCACCACCTGACTGCTTTTTATGTGTAAAGTCAAACCTGCAAGTGATTAGGAGGGAGGAAATCAACAGAGCATTAGTAATTAGCAAAATGAAATAACTCCTGATAATTTAAATAAAAACTCACATTTCATAATTTTTTTTTTTTACTTTTTCCTTTGAATAGAATGGTCCTACTATAAAATTTTATTACAGAAGTTATTTAGAAAATATTCCTCTTCTCTGCTATTACTTGGGGGGTGAGTAATCCAGTTTTTAAATTCAGCTAACTCTGAATTTCCAAGGAAAAAAGTCAAGTAATTAAACTAGAAAGCTCGGTAGGGCTCCTGTTCTAAGAGCCTATAGCCCAGAGCTTACCCATTTCTTTTGGAACGTCTCTCTTCCATGTTACACAGTGCAGTAACAGCTACTTGAAATCAGAACTCAGGTGGCTACAGCTAAATTATTTAGACAGTTCCTACTTGATGTTATTATTTGATATTAGTAGGTCAAAGGGAGTGCCAGGTGCAGTAATGCATACCTGAAAATTGCTAATGTCAAAATGATAGTGACAAGCATGAATACGGCTTCCAAAGAATGTGACCAGACACAGGTCAATGTTTACCTCAAACCACTAGAAAAAATACTACTCTACATACACAATAAACATGAGAACACAGGCTGACAGGCTGTTACTTCATAGGAAAGTCACTTCATGAGTATATATTGTTTGCAAGTCACTTTTCCTCTAAACCTAAAACCTTAAGATGGACAAGAGCAATCACTTTCAAAAGTATCTACAGATAACTGAAGGTGGATGGACATTAATGGGTGTGTGCTCCTGCAGACAAGTCTGTAAGTGGCTTGGAAGAGGAAGATTTCCTAAAGAGCCTGACTGAACATGTCTGAGTAAACTGCCTTCTAATAAGCTTCTAATGGCCAAGTGCGTCAAGAAGGGCTGAGAAAACCATAGGAGTGAAAGCTTCATTTTCCTGGGAGGGAAAAAAGCATCCAGAGAACAAAGAGAAGGAAAACAGGGGGAAACAAGCGCTAACATCACTGCAGGATCACTGTGGAGGGACTGCCGAACTGCACCACCAGGATGCTATCAGGTACATAATGCTCTCTGAGGTACTGTAAAGCTTGTCTATAATCTAAGAACAATATAATAGCTATACAAAAACAGTCTAAGGCTGGTAAGATAGCTAGGCAAGTAAAAAGTACTTGCCGAAAAGTTTCACAACTTGAGTTTGATCCCTGGGACCATACAGTGGAAGGAGAGAACCAAATCTTGCAAGCTGTTCTTTGACCTCCACATTAGTGCCATGGCACATGCAAGTGCCCTAACACACACACACACACACACACACACACACACACACACACACACAAATAAACTATACACTTTTTAAATGAAAATAACAATTTAGATCTGTACTGTCTATATGGTAATAACTAAACCATGGCTAGTCACACTTAATTTAAATTAAATGATTTAAAAATTCAACTACTCAGGCAGGGAATGGTGATGCATGCCTTTAATCCCAGCACCTGGGACACAGAGGCAGATGGAGCTCTATGAGATCAAGGCTAGCCTGGTCTACATAGTGAGTTCCAGGCCAGCTGTGATACCTGGAGACCCAGCCTCAAAAACAAAAGAAACAAAACAAAATTTCAAATGCTCAGTTGTACAAGCCAATAGTGGCGTGAGCAGAGTGACCACTGTATCAGGCAGACAGATGCAGGACACCACAGACTGCTGAGTTCTGTGGGCAGCACTGCAATGGAGGACCAACTCACAGCCATGTAATTCCACGGTTTCAGGGACCACGTGACTTAGGAGTGAAGCCAAATAATGAAACATTCAAGTGCCAGGTGTTTGTTAAACATTTTCTAAGGGCTCTTTTGTGTTCTTCACCCAAAACCCAGGAATCAGTACTATTTTTAATCATCATTTATAGAGGAGAGAGTTGAGGGCCAGAGACACTAAGTAACTAGATTAATGTGACACTGTGCCAAAAGCACTGTCCTTAACCAAACATTTTTCTAGACAGCTAATAAGAAAAGAATACAAACTGACTAAACCCCTGAATGATGTACTCACTTCAAAGTTGCTAGTGGACAGTGCATGGAAGAAGACTAGGCAGTAATTTAGATAAAGAGGAGACTGCTTGGCAGGCGTAAGCAGACATGCTGCAGGTAAAAGACGCTCTGGCCTGGAACCACAGCACTGGCATCCAGTAAAAAGCAATTAGTCTTGTCAAAATAGTATGTCACATTAAACAGAGCTGGGAACAGAGCTGGTTTTGTGCTTTACCTTTTAATTTATACATTTGTTTTGACTTGATTTTATTTAGAGACAGGGTTTCCCTATGAAGCCCTGGCTGACCTAGAATTCTCTATGTAGATAGAATATGTGAATTGCAGAAGAGCCACAAGCCTCATTAGGGAAAGCCATAAATTCCTTCAAGTGTCTAACTGGCCCTAAATTGGCAGCCTGGCCTTGCCTCAAGCCTTATCAACTGGTCACTCCCTGGACTGAGAGAGAGAGACTGTGGAGCCCAACTGTCTCCTTTAGTACTATAGACAACTCACCCACCTGTCTGAGAAAAGAGACCCTCAAGGATGCCAAATCTGGGCACTAATTCAACTCCCCACAAAGTGCAGCTGTCTCTCACAACTTCTGTATAAACAACCCCCAGTTTGTGTAGTTGCAGAAGCTTGGTTCCCACAGTCAGCCTCTACCTCTCACTGTATCTTCTTTGAATAAAAGAGGATGTATTCCTTGCCTGTTGCAGGTCTGGCTGTTTTCTTGTCTCCTACTCCTCTATCTTTCCTTTTACTCTCCAAAACTCTAACACAGGCCAGGCTGGCCTTGAAAATTCATAGAGATCCACTTGCCTCTATCTCTTAAGTGCTGGGATTAAAGGTAAGTGCCACATGTCTAGCTGTTTTGACTCTGTACTCACACCCAAGCTACAGGCTATGGTATTTTTACTTCAACTTATGCTCATGCTGTAACAGAATTAATGGTGTAAATTACTTAATCCGAATTATTTCCTTGAAAATAATCTACACATGGGGCTGCAGAGATGGCTCAGTGGTTAAGAGCACTGGTTGTTCTTACAGAAGACCTGGGTTCGAATCCCAGCACGCACGTGGCAACTAAAAACTGTAACTCCAGTTCCAGGGGATTCGACATCCTCTTCTGTCCTTCACAGGCATTGCACAACATGGGTGTACTTATCACACATGCAGGCACAACACTCATACACATAAAATAAATATAAATTTAATGTTTTAAAAAAAGTAATCTATGCATTACTCAGGTTTGAGGATAATAAACTAATAATTAGCCTTTCATAAAAATTTTGGTAGGTAACTAAGATTTCAAAGACCCAAACATACGATTCTTGTAATTCAGCTTATTTAACATCTAAATGGGCACTTAGGTATCCTTTTTTAATGTGATAATTATAGTTTTAAGAGAACCTAAGCCACTGTGGATATTATAAATGCCTTTATGACCCAATCTTTGTTATTAGTTTTGGTCTACAGAATCTTAGATTATTCATCAGGCTCCAAAATGGCAACCCAGGAAACTCTACTATTCTGAGTAGAGTATAGCAGCTGCAGGAGCTAGCAGATTGTGAAACTTAAAATTTCATTATCTGTAGAGTGCCTTCTGAGTCATTAGGCTACACTCAGCCACTCTTTCCTGGACACTATCCAAAGAGCACTTACATTAAAAAATTCACGCACAAAATATCTAAGGCTTTGCTTCATAGATAAATGACTTATCCAAAGGAAAAGAAAATCACTTTCAATTTCTTAGAAAAAAAGCTTAAGAGGAAAACTTAATCTTTTTACCCTCTAGTTGAGTCATGGTCATTGGGTAACGTAACTAGAGAGGATGAAAATGCTATATTGCTTATTATTTCTTTAAAATCCACTTACTCATTTATAGGAAAAATTTATATAGCCTACAAGGAAAACATCATCTTAGTACAAACACATCTGTTCACTTTCTTTTTTCAAACCATAACTACAAAACAGACACACATACACCACATAATATATGTAAGTCAACCCAAAAAGCTTTCGATAATCTTTTTCCTAAAAAAAAGAAAGCCTGGAGCAGTGGTTCACGCCTGTAATCACAGCACTCAGGAGGCTGAGGCAGGAGAATCGCTGAGCTCCTCCAGACCAGGGGACAGACGCAAGGAAGGGAAAAGGACACAGAGGTTAAGAGGGAGAATATGAATGAAAATGAATCTTTGTTTTCAAGCCAACCAGCTAGAGTGAAGGTCCAGCCATGGGCCTGAGGAAAAGGAATCTTAGCTTCCTGATCTACAAGGAAGAGGCCCAAATAACAATGCCTTTAAGGGTGAAAACATAAAGGACCAAGGCTGGCGACTCCACTGTCTACTAAAAGCCTGCTCCTGCTTGAGCTTTAAAACCTGGCTTTTGTTCAAGCTACCTCAATGTCCTGCTCTTTGTAAATCTGGTTTCTAAAAATGCTTTAATCCTTAAACATGTTCAAGGTGATTAAGAAACATGGTGTTAATCAAAGCCTCATCTTTTTAAGATCAGTGAAGGCAGAGAGGTATGAAGGTACATTTTTTTTTCCACTCGCCAAATTATAATCCTCCAGCTTTATCCCAGTTTTTAGTTTCATGTGCCTGGATTTAGGCAGAACCGGAAGCCGGGATGAACAAGCCCGTCCCTGAACTCTCACAGTGGAAGGAGGGAAGGCATGAATCACAACTTGGAGCACCTTTGCACCTTGCCTAGTGCAAGGCCCAGACTGTGGAAAGGTGTGCACCAATCTGCAGGTGAAAGCCAGCCTGCCCTTCCCAGGAGGCTGAAGGCCTCGGGGGCCCCACCGGCTCCTGGGCCCCGCCCACCTACTCCCTCCCTCAGCCCGTGGGAGGCTTCCAGGCCCAGGCTCTTCCCTGGCGGGAGCCGCCCACTAAGGGCGGGGCTCAGGCTCCAAAGAAGCCCCAGCCCAGCAGCCGCTTCCTGAGAGGCAGGAGGAAGAGGGAGGGCTCAGGGAGGAAAGCGCCCAGGCTCTCCCAGCCCAAGCAGGCTGCTGGCTTCAACACACGTAGACCCCGCACCCAGGGAGCCCGAGCCCTTGCCACCAAGATGGAAATCCCACCCACTCACTACGCGGCCTCCAGGGCGGCTTCAGTGGCGGAGAACTGCATCAACTACCAGCAGGGGACCCCGCACAAGGTGTTCCTGGTGCAGACCGTCCAGCAGGCCAGCAGGGAGGTGAGTCCAGGGGCCCAGGGCACAGGCTGGGCACTCCCCCTCCGCCCGGGGGCCTGACACTCCTGTGGGATCCTCTGCCCCAAGCAGACAGACTGTCCGGAACTGCTCACTTTCCCACGAGGCAGAGCTGCCCAGGCAGACAGTGTTTAGGCTACTATTTAAGGGAGAGGGACGCTAATCGGGGTGGGCTTCTCACTCTTTGCTGTAGCGAGCCCTCCAGGAGCCATTCCAAACCATCTGGAAGCTGTTGCTGTTCTCAAGCTGCTACTCAAGCCTTGACCAACAGAAGCTCCTGGCCTCCAAACAGCTCCCTGAATTTTAAAAACAATCCTTAGACTCTGCCCCAAAGGGACAACGGGAAGCTGGCTGGATCGGAGCACAAAAACACTGGGTTGCAGCCTGCCTTACCCCCGCCCATCACTGCAGAGACTGTCCGAAATGGGCTGGCCTGGCTGCTGCAGGGGTCAGAAGCAGCGCTCTCAGTCCAGGGACACATACCAATTTCTAGAGTGTCCCTTATTATTATTTTTATCTATCTGGAACAACCTTAGCTGCCAACAGTCTTTATGAACTGACATGGAATAGACTGTTTTGAAACTGCACCAGATAACACAATTAGGTTTAAACTTCTAATTTATCTTTGCATTTAAAAGTTAAAACATCTAGGGGCTGGAGAGATGGCTCAGCAGTTAAGAATACTGGTTGTTCTTGCAGAAGACCCGGGTTCAAATCCCAGCACCCACATGACAGCTAACAACTGTCTGTGGCTCCAGTCCCAGGGGATCTGACAGCCTCTTCTGACCTCCGCTGGCATTGCATGACGCGGGTACACTTCCTACATGCAGGCAATACACGCATACACATAAAATAAAAATAAACAAAATTTTAAAAAAAGTTAAACATCTAAATGTGTCTGTTTTTTGTAGTATCATGTGGCAGACCCAGTGACACACGAGTGAAGTAGCACTTAATTAAGTCTCTATAATCATTTGGCAGTAATCTGCCTCAAAACAATTTACAGTCACTGTTCCCTCTCTGAAGGGTAGACTGAGCTTTATAAGCCTTTCCAAAGGTGCATCCTAATTGTCATTTTCAAACTAAAAGCTACTTCAGTTTTTCTTATATAGAAAATTAAAGACTTCAATTTGAAGTCTGCTGATTAAAAGTGAGTTGTGCCCATATCCTTCTGTCCTAATCCAAAATAAACTTGCCAGAGACACTGCTAAATTAGACACTACACACAGCCTTTTCAAGATGTGAGACTTGGAGAGAATGTGCCGTGTATGAGGTACACTAATATGTATGTATGAAAAATTTGAATGAGACCCCTTCTTTTTATGCTAAAACAAGATGTACAGCTTTACTGCAATTCCTCCCACCAACCACACAGGAATGGTCTCCTAACTACAAATATTTGCTTTGTTATAATATTGTCTTCTCTCCACCACATTTTTCTTAACTCTAGGATATTCCAGGAAGAGGGCATAAGTATCATCTTAAATTTTCTGTGGAAGAAATCATCCAAAAAGTAAGTGAAATGTCCTTTCTAGTTAGTAAATAAAATTTGATTCTAAATGTCCAGGGTATCCTTGCTGAAGGATTTGGTCTTGGGCTTTTACTATAGAGTTGTTGGTTTAAAAAAACAACAAAAAAACCCAAAAAACACTGACCATACAACAGTCACACTGGCCATACAACAGTCAGTATACTACTGAACTCTTAAGAAAAGTCTCTATTTCAACTCAAAAACATTACCCGTTAAAAAGTTCACACATTCAGAATAATCCAAATCCTACCTCAGAAAAAACAGTAATTAGTAATGAATGGCCATCTGTAAGTAAAGATCTTTTGTAAAATGTTTCAAACAGCAAGTTACAGTGAACTGCATGGCTGAAGTTCTTTACCCTAAAGTGGGACAAGATTCTGCACCAGAAGTCAACTTCACATTTGAAGGAGAAATTGGCAAAAATCCAGATGAAGAGGATAACACATTTTATCAAAGACTGAAGTCCATGAAAGAACCACTAGAAGCACAGAACATTCCAGGTACACACAGACAGCATGGGTAACGTTTTTTCAACCTTAAGATGGGCCTCAATTATCTATGCTCAAAATTGATGTTGGAAATATTATGACCTTTACAAAAATACTCATTTCTAATAGCCCATGGCTTAGTTTCTTCTCATTTTAGAAGAACACTCAAGCATGACTTAAGAGTTGATTTTTAATCTAAAAAGGTTACTATCATATAAATAAAATAATTACATTTGGCATATAAATGTTTCTCCTACCAGACAGTTTTGGAAATGTGTCTCCACAAATGAAGCCAATCCAACACTTAGCCTGGGTTGCCAGTGGTTATATAATGTGGCAGAATTCAACTGAAGACACGTGGTATAAAATGGCAAAAATTCAAACTGTCAAGCAAGTGGTAAGTACTCTATAAAGTATACTTTTAACAGAGTTAATATTGATTTAAAGAATTATAATTCATAATTGGATAGTGTTCCAACAGTCATTTTGCATTAAAAATAGTGAACCCTGGTAGTCTGAATGCAATGTCAGGCACAGTCAAGACTGCAGAAGATGAAGAATTAAAGAAGAGTCCAAAGCAATAGCACTGGTCCTAAAAGCCAGGGGTTTAGCTAAGAGAGCAAACCACAGGCCTCATTTGCATACAGTCTGTCTTCCTAGCAGGGTTAGTTTGCCTTCCCTGGGCACACAGTTACAGGAAGCATAACATTAGTGAGGCAAAGCCAAGGAGTTCCTGAAATATTTTCTAGTAATGAGCAGTATCTAGACTGGACTTTCACAAGTTGACAGTTCTCAACCTTTCATGTCAGGCAAGTCAGATTTAGTTATTTCTGATGCTTCATTCAGACCGTTTTCTAGAGCAAAAAGGGTTGGAGCTTTAATAGTACAGGCAGGATTTAGAATCTTGGGTACACTATATACTTGTAATGACTTACACCATTGTTAATATGCTATACAAAGGGCCTCAGCACCACTTTTATAGCAATCACAAACGAGGCTGCACTTTCATTACTGAGAAGTTAAAAATTAGGAGTTTTGTACTCAGTTTAATAGATTTCTTCATTTAGCAACCTAAATTTTGTGTTCGAATCTCTATTGTCATGCAGTACTGAAACTAACTGCATTCTTTCTCTACTGAATAGTGGTTTCACAGCTACTTAGAGACATGACATGACTGGCATTTTCCTCCTAGAGATCAGTGTGAGGAATAATTGTAGCACTGTAGTCTTTGTAAAGCTTGAAGTATTCCTGAGTCACTTTGTAGCTTGAAACCATAATTTTCTTTTAGTCATAATTTACAACCTCATGTCTTGTTACCAGCTTTATGCTTTAAGACTGACATCATGACTATTAGAAGTACCTCTTTCTAAGCCATAAATATGTAAGAATAAATTCTTTTCTTAAGAGTTTAAAAAGGGGAAAAATTCAACTAGTATCTAATGAATACCAAGAAAGAGTACCAAGAAACCACAAAAAAATAGTTTTAGTCAACTCACGAAAAGGACTTTCTGCACCCTCTTTCAGTTTGTTGGCAACAGACCACAGGGTAGCAGGAGCACCATTTCTTCATGGGCTTTTATAACAGCTCACCAGAGAGCCGCCCATACACTGACGGCAGGACAGCCATTATAGCACTCAGTGGGAGGCCCCAAACCCATTAAATACTGTAAGACTTTGAGAAACAGCAAGTCTTTTTTCTAATGCATTTCACAGATACTAACCTGGTGACATTTCTGTAAAGGTACTGAGCTCTTAACAATTGGGGCCAGGTACAGAGGCTATAAAACCATAACCATGAATTTTCAAGCTATTTGTAGCAATAAATCAGTTTGTACTTTTATAAAAAGAAGGCTCCTGCAAATCTTTGCTATGTTGTGACTTTAGAAACATTAATGAAAATCTCAACAGAGAAGTCTAAATATTGCATCAGTTTATGTATATCACGTATTTTTATTAAGAGTCAATGTGTAAGAATTCCTACAAGTAACACTGTCTTTAAAGGCACTCTTTGTTGATATATTCAAAGAAAAGATTACTTTAAGAATACTATACTGATTCTGGGGCCACATTTAAAATCACTGTTAACCATAGGCGCCCCAGGATTATGTGCCTGCCTCCCATTGGAGTCTCAGATTTGTCACAGTACACCATAGTAAACCTTAAGAAACCTCAACTTCGTGGGGCACAGCATGTTTCTGATGCTGGTTTTAAATTACACAGATACAGCAGTTCTGTGTAGCTGATGTCATGAATACCTTTTATTCTTGAAGCAACAGCGCAGAACAAAGCATAATTGCCAAATCAGATAACTACAGTCATTACAGTTTATTAGTGTCAGTTTTCTAAAAAGAATTTCTGTTATAAAATTGTGAATATCTACTATCATAGTTCACATTTAAGGGTTCTTAAACAAAAAGCGACACACAGTAATGCTTTTAAACAGCCATCACGAATTGGAAAGTAAAAACAAGCAATTTTTAGAATAATACATACAAAATAATTATTCTTTTGAAGTTGAATTTTGAAATCGTTTTTCTGCCAGGCTAAATTGAAATAAATTCTGAAGTTCAAATTCTATTTTTACCGAGAGTACTAAAATCATGTATTAACCGTTAATTTATAAAATTAAAACATCACTTTGCCATGACAGCACTTTAAACAGCAGGCTTTTGTTTTTGTCACAGCAAAGAAATGATGACTTCATCGAGTTAGACTACACCATTCTCTTTCACGACATTGCATCGCAGGTATTGTGCCACTTTCCTCTTACTTGATGCCACTTTGAAATGAAGAATACTTTCATAGCCATAGTTTGCTTTATTCGTTTTGACTTTAAGTCAAAATTCATATAAATTCAAATAGGCATCAGGTTCAAGTATATGATCTTTGTAGCAACTCAACTTGTTTGTTGCTATTTCTTATGAACATTTTAGTAGTATCTCCAACACAGTATCAGCTCAATTATTTTTTTTCTTAATTGTTTTGTGAATTTCATCATGGTATCAACTTTCTTTACCTGCAGGAGATTATTCCTTGGCAAATGCAAGTTCTCTGGCACCCACAATATGGTACAAAAGTAAAACATAATAGCCGTCTCCCAAAGGAAGTACAACGGGAATAAACGAAGACCCTAACACTGAGGTGAACTGTAAACATGCTTGTTAATGATGTGTGTGCCTGTCCTCATTGGCATCTAGCCTAATGAGCCAAACAAATCCCAAAGTGTCACTCTGTATGTCTTGACTATAGTACAGAGCTACATAGATTCCATTATAAAGAGTATCACTACAAAAAGAAAGGTCTGAATAATAGTAACAGCACAATGTATCTCTCCTAATAAAAAGCTTCAACTTCAGCCTCATAGTGTCTAATTGTATTGTGTACTTACTGGACAGGGGCAGCAATGGTCTCTCTAAAGGCAACTTTTGGCTTTCCTGTGATACAAGGACAGCCATATTCTCTTTCCATTCTCTAAAAAGAACAGGGGAGATAATGTTTTTGGAAAATCTATAAAGTAAAATGAAAATGAAACCCTAAGCATCTCAAGTACCTTAGTAGCACTCAACAAAATATAGTAGGTTGCCGAACAGTAAGTTTTAAATCACTTTAGTATCTGATAAGGATCAGATGTGATGTTTTAATACTACAAACCTTTCACAGATTTTTATGTAGAATTCTGATTTAGACTTATTAATAACACTTAACACCAAACACTCTATCTACTAAAACATTACCATTGTTCCATGTTATTACATTTTCACTGGAATAATATGTAAATCTCTTGTATGGATTTCTACCCACTGTGTCTACTTTAAGACACAATAATACAATTTCTGGCCATGCATCTTTTGTTTACATTTGACCAAATTTACATCTGACCTAGAAAGACCCTTTCTTTTATCTATATTGAAGTTACCTTTCATGTATTTTTATTTAAATTAAAAATTATTTTATTTTGAGACAGGACCTCACTATGTATGTCTAGATGGCCTGGAACTCACTATGTAGACCAGGCTAGCCTTGAACTTGCAGAGATTCACCTACCTCTGCCTTCCAAGTGCTGGGATTAAGGCATGTACTACCATGTCTGGCCCTTTATTTTTATGGGTATCTGTGTATGTGTATGACATGTATATGTGGTGCCAGAAGAGGGTAGTAGATCTTGTTGGACTGCATGGAGCTGTAATTACAGGTAGTGATAAGCTGTCCAATGTGGGTGCTAGGAACCCAACTTGGGTCCTCTGGAAGGCTTTTAGCTGCTGAGCCATCTTTCTAGCCCTCATGTACCGTCCTGAGGAAAAATGACCTAGAAAGCTAGGTACAAGAACAGGCTCTCCCTAAAGCTGGCTTTACTTGACCAGGGGGTGGATGACAGGCTTGCGACAAATTCTGAGCCTTGATTCTAGGAGTCTACAATGTTTAACAGATCGTTAAAGTAACTAATTACAAACACCACAGCAGAAACAGTGAAGTGTGCCATACCTGGTTATAAACCATAATAAGGCGTTAAAAACCACTATCAGTTTATGACCAAAAAAAGTTACTTTTTTTTTTTTCTAAACAAAGTCTCACATAGCTTAGGCTAGCCTTCAACTTGCTATGTAGCTGAGGATGAATTCCTCCTAATCTTCCTGCTTCAGCCTTCCAGTGGTGGAATTAGACAGAACAACCTCACCCAGCAGCATTACTGACTTACAACAAAACATACGGAAAGAAATGTAACTGAACTGAGCTTCTTTGTTATTCATTACCTGGGCATAGATCTCCAGGTGTAATTCTCCCATTCCAGATACAATTGTCTCCTTGCTCTCAGTGTCAAAGCGGACTTTAAAAGTGGGGTCTTCTCTTGTAAACCTGCCAATACCTTTTGAAAATTTTTCTAGATCATTCTTTAAAAGAAGAAGAAAAGTCATTATATATTTTACTAAGCATAGAAAACAGTGGTATTTCTGAAAGAACTTTATAGTGAATAAAATCATAATATGCAATTAAGAAAGATGATCCATGTCTAGTTTGGCTCACACCTTTTTTGGGAAAAATACAGCAAATACCAAGAGAGCAGGAAAGAGCTAGCTGAAGAGAATTCTCTCTCCATACCAAGACAGAAAACAAGAGCCCAAGATTTAACTCTGTCCTTTTCTAGCACAATGACCAAACTATCCATTTGCATAAAACTGCCTACTAAATGGAAAGAGGAGTCAGTGTTACATTTTAGATTATATATAACATAGCATGTTTGCCAAGAGTCTCCTGTAGATTCAGGATTACCTATCCTGTTATACCACACTGAGATGTCACTATTTCAAAACAGTCTCCTTGGATACAGTCTGGTGTACCTTTATTCTTTCATGTAATTCCACCCAGTAAGCAGGATAACAACCCCCCCACAAACCCCAATCTTATATTATTTTACTGGATTTAGGAATGAAAGGTATAAAGATACTTTTCATGTCTAACCTTGCTAGCAATCCTTAGCAAAGAACTTGAAACAAGCCATGAGCTGGCTGAGAGGTAAGATGTAAGATTTGTCCCTCCACAAAAATCTAAAAAGATATAATGGTTTCATGTTTCTGACAACCCCAAATTTCTCTTTTCTATATTGGGAAATGATCTGGAAAAAATCCCTAGGTTTCTCAAAACAGATGAAGTAGCTATCACACAGCTGTTAATAATTCTCACAGAGCTGAGTATGCTCTGTAAATGATAGTTCTCAGATGGCAAGATCAGAGTTCACTCAATACACGAATGAGCTAACTCCAATAAGCCAGGTAAACAAGGCACCTTGGTATTAAACAATTATGGCTCACAACTGAACTAATTACAATGAAGGGTAATATGAATATAAGATATTCATGCAGTTTGGCTTTGTAAAGTGTGAAATATCAATATATTAATTTAAGAAACTATGAAATTATAGTTAAAGTGAGAAAAACAGTCTTATCTTACAGGCTTTTATTATAATCAGACATTTACTTCATAACTGCAAAATCTAGAAATGTGTTATAACCCATAAAGCAATTAAACTATCCAATATCATGAAGTATTTTACAGTGGAGTTTCACTACAACCTGAGAAAAACACTTTACCTCCCCTTTTCAATGATTTAAGAAACGGTAGCCTTACCGCCAGGAACCAATGATATAATGAAGAGTTATAAACTACCGTCTACTGTTAAAATGAATGCTATTGTAGACTAATGTCTACTATTAAAATAAGTTATTAGGATTGATGGTAAATTTAAAAAGGTGATCCGAATACCAAAAGAGGAAGCAGAAACCATAAGACTGCTGCTTCCCACAAGACATCTGTACAAATCAAGACAGACAAAAGTTTGCTCAAGTTTTTACTGTGATATACTGAAGTTTAAATCAAACTCCTACCTTGTTAGAAGGCTTCATTGCTACTGAAATAACAGGTTCAGGAACATGAATTGATTCCTAAAACACATTTTTTTTTAAAGAATTCAAAAGCAGTACCATATAAATGAGGGATTAATGTACCACATTAGAACAAAACAAAGGATAAACCCTAGCCAATATCTTTAGGCTAAACAATATCTTTAGGCTAAATCCTAGTCTAAATCTTTCGGCCCAATATCTTTAGGCTTCTGTTTCCTTTATCAGAGTATATTTTGAAAGTATATTTGATTAAAGTATGAGTTATGAGAAGACTGCATTTCCTGATTCTTAGCAGGAGTGATGGGGATTCAAAGGCAGGAACTGCCTAAGTATGTTCTTCCCTCAGGATTTGTCAATGATGAAAAGAGACCTGTGTGTTCCACAGGCCCAGCTGTCGGCACTACATCTGGCTGGCTGTCTTCTTGGCACTTTGCCTTCTGAGCATGGACATGGACTTTTATCCTCAAGTCTAGTCTAAACATTACAGTCTGACCTTAGCAATTCCAGAAGATTGCTGGAGGACCACTCTGCCTACTGAATTAGTAAGTAGCACAGCACTGGGACTAACCTGAGAGTCATATAATAATCAGTGGCACCCATGGTAGGGTGGCAGATTTCAGGGTGGAAGAGCCAAAGCTACACAGACTAGGTATTTAGTGGAGATTTTTCTCCACATTAAAACTTTGGAGGCTTGTGGAATGGTTTTACTAAGAAAAGCTAGGCAAGGCAGCCTACATAGAGCACTTAGCTAGTTGATATTCAAAGAACTATAACCAACAAAAGGCCATGATGAACTTGAGGCCTGTGGCAGCTGTTTTGCTGGAGTACTAAATACATAAAAACAGACGATTGAATCTCAAGTGATAAGTAGCTCTGCAATGAAATGGCTTACCATAGAAAGGCCACTGCTATCTCTGTTTGTGAATGTGTCTCCACTAGCACAGTCAATCCCAAACAATGCACAGATATCTCCAGCATACACTTCCTCAACATCCTAAATGAAGAAAGAATGTAAGTCATACTTGTAAGTAACGGAAATCAAGGCATATATGAAGCAATTGCACAGTAAACACACTGTCCATAAACAATGCAGAAATCTTCCCCATGAATTCTACAGAGAATGACCTAATGCAACACCAACAATCAACTATGCCAAGACCTATCTTCAACAAGGCCTTTAAACATTTACACTATCTGTTTCAACAGCTTTTGCAATGCAAACCACAGGGATACTATGGCTTCTCTAAGAGATGTGAAGTGCTGATAAAACACAGAACCTCACAGTTCTAGCTATTTCCACAGAGTTAAAAAGCATGTATTACAATGTACTGCCACAGTTAAGACAATGAAATGTGTACAACAGATATACACAAGGAAAAACTGCAAAGGATGCTTGGGACATAAAAGTAGAAGAACGGAGGCTACTGTACTAAAAATACATTAATTTTTCACAGATGCAAGCAGTAAAAAAACCACAGGAAAGCAAAGAACAAAGCACTGGTGCCTCCCGGCTTCCCGGTTATTGTCCTCCCTACTCACGGTTCATCCACAACAGCTGTGCTGTGAGTGAGGCCCTGAGCCTCTGTCTTAATGACTGCACATATTTCCTTGCATCTGGCACAGGAAATGTCTGCGGCAATCACTGATCCCTCTAGCCTGCCCCCTGCTGCCTACCTCACAAAACAGCAAAGCTGCCCTCTCGCTTTATTTTATTAAACACTATGAAAATGCCATAGTTTAATTAACTATGCTTCTGTTGTACAGATCCTCTTGGATGGACGTAATTATTCCTGCTAGGAATTTCTTTTCTTGGTATTTTTTTTTCTTTTTGATAATTTTTGGCATTTTTTTTCTGTATAGTTCTTTTAACTTTTAACAAACATTTCTACTTTACATAAATAACTTTTGTTCATTTTTTTTTTAAAAAAGTTGTCCACTTTTGAGACTGCCTACTCATCTTCCAAGACACAAAAGTATGTCTTCTACACAGTTTCTATTCTTTGCTTCTCCAGGAATACAGAGCTAGACTGGAAAGGGTAGGAGTGGCCTCAAGCACTCGGGTATTCTTGCTGAGGCCTAGCTATAAGGACTCCAAAAGGCCCAGGCAGATTCAGAGCTAATTCAAGCCATAAGTCAAAGATCCACACTATATCTTAACAAGCTATAGATCTTCAGTTAGATTCTGGAATCAATATGCCCTGCAAGGAGTTTTACAACAGGCATAAAAGCTCTAATACTAAATAGGACTTCCACGGCTGCCATATTTCAGAAAGCAAATTCACTGAACCACATGGAATTACCATGTGCAATTATTACCATGTGCGAATTTACTATTCTCATTTATCTTTAAGAACCAGTTATACTATCCTAAATGCTTACAACACTCTTGGTAGCTATTGCTCCACCACTCCCCCACGTCCACCCCCCAGATAGGGTCCTGTTATGTAGCCTAGCCTGGCCTTCTGATCTTGCCTCGGCCTTGTGAATGCATGTACCTTTACAGCCAACGTGTTTGAGGAAAACTGTGTCGAGTCCCAGGGAACTCTTTTTCTGAACCTTAGCCACTGAGAAAGTATAGCTACCCTCTAGTGGCATAAACCAAGTTCTTAACATTAGTCAATTCATTTAACCTATAGCAAAGCAGATGTGAATTATAACACACCTAAATACAAAGAAAGCAAGGAAAACACTTCAATTATAAATGATTTTCTAGTGGTCTCAGGATGCCAAGAAAGCACACCCACTCCACCTGCATCAGACCGCCCTGTGCCCACCGCCATGCTATACTTGCCTCCATCATGTCAGCATGCATGCGAGCTAGTCGCTGCACTCGCACTTTCTTTCCTGTCCTCGTGTTGTATATGGTGTCACCCTTCTTTAGCTCTCCCTGATAATTGCGCACATAAGTTAACTGTCCAAAGCGACCTGCCTAGAAGTCAAGGTTGGGCATGGAAGAAAGAATAAAAAGAAATGTGAGAATTGAAACGGAAAGGAAAACTTTTCAACTACTTTCAAACATTCTTTCAGTTTCAGAAATCCATCTTATGTACATGTTTCAGTTCGCTGCCACAAACTTATATAGCACTGGCTTTGAATCCCAGTAAGAGAAATTAAATGGCTGCTGATCCATCTTTTTGGTATCACAATCAACATAATTTCTGTGCTTCTGTAAGTCACTATAATTTTTTTTCAGTGTTTACATAAGAAATTATCATTTTGCCTTCTAATATTATTTCAAAAGCTCAGTTTAATACAATATGACAAAAAATAAGGTATAATTATGAAGACAACAAAAATAGCATTAGAACATGACACACCTTAAGCCATCTTGGATAATTATGTAGAAAGCACTACAAATAAGAGTTCTATGAAGAGACCAACTATTCCATGCTGAACTATTATACGTTTATAATATATAAATTGAATACGGTTGAGATTGAGACTATATACTGTTTGTCAATTACTACCATGTTAATTTATAAACTTAATAGTACAGTAGTAAAATTCCAACAGAAAAATTTTTTAGATATTAGTTTTTGAAATTAGACTTATACACATTTATTTTTTGTGGGGGGCTTTGGGGGAGAGCTTGTATGGCACAGTGTGCACGTGGAGGTTAGGGAACAACTTTCTGGAGCTGGTTCTCTCCTTCATGTGGGTTCTACATGAGGAGTCAAACTCAGGCCATCAAGTTTGGTTGCAAGTAGTGCCTTAACTATCTGAGCCAACTCACTAGCTTCCACCGGAAAAATGTTTGTAACACATGATGATTTCAAAATTCATTCAAAGGTATATATAAAAATAGAAATTTACCTAAATCTACAGTAATGAGGCAGGGTGTGGTGGCACTTGGGAGGAAGAGGCAGGTAGATCTCTGTGATTTTGAGACCAGCCTGGTCTACATGGTAAGTACCAAGCCAGCTAGAACTATATAGTGGCCCTGTCCATTAACAAAAACCTATAGCAATGTGAAGAAAACGTTACCAATACAAAACATTAAATGATCATATTCAAAACTTTAAGAAGTACAGCTTTAAAGAACAGAATCATACCATCTATAGGATTGGATGGAACTAGGAACTGTGTTAAGAAAAATAATCCACACAGAAACATAAATACCAAATGTTTTGTCTGAAGTGTGTAATGTAGATCTAAAAACAATATACATAGGATATGACAATCTAAGGGGGATTATCTGGAAAGAGGAAAGGGACCAACTTGAAGGCAGAAGGGGTAAACAAAGGCAGAGGAGAAAAAACAGGGTAATTGGGGGTTGATATGATCTAAGTACAAGATATGCATGTATGAAAATATGGTGAAACCAATTATTTTGAACAATGAATATATGCTAATAAAAGGGGGGATTACCCCAAAAAAAAAAGGATAACCAGAACAAATAAAATACAATATAAATATCTAGGGTATAAAATACATTTGTTAGTAATGATAAAGGAAACATGAAAAAATTGAAAAGAACAGAAATGTTTACAAAATAGTAATGGGACAACTGGTTTTCTATTTGGAGGCAGCAGAATACATTAAGATCCTGCTGTACTGACCCAGGCCCAGAAAGACAAACACTGCATGTTCCCTCTCATATGCAGATTCCAACTTTGAATTTTTAGATTTGTGTTTTTAATTTGGAATGTCTGTAGAGGTCAGGAAGCTGGAAAGGGCACATGAGAGGGGTGAGGGGAAGAGGTCTAAGGTTGGAGAGGGGATAACAGAATGCGCAATACAAAAGTGTTAGGCATTAAAGATTTAAGCAGGGATGGGTAGGGGAACAGGGTGGGAAATAGGTTAACCCAAACGAAGAATGGATGAAAAGCCTTATGAAGCTGAAGAATGAATTTTTTTTAAAGTCTGAATATAAGTACCTTGCATGGATACATAATACTTCGCCCAGAAGACATGAGCTACTAAATGAAAATGTCACTGCCAAGCGTGGGGTACCTCCCTAAGAGTTATTAGTCAGGGAGGGCCCCCAGAGTCACCCAAAATAACACAGGCTATTGCCACTGATTTGGTTGCCCACTACAGTGAGTTGGCAGTTACTACAAGCACATGGAGGTCAGAGGACAACTTGGGGGAGTCTGCTCTCCTTCCATCATGTGGGTTCTGGGGTCCTAGGGATAGAACTCTGGTCATAAAGCTTGCTGACAAGTATCTTTACCTACTGAGTCATCCCTGCTGGCCCCTCAAACTGCCTTCTAAATATTTATATCCGTAGATTAGTGCTGCTCTCAACCTTAGTCAGAAAAAAACTTTGCAGTGGGCAGCAGTTAATTCAGAGACTCAGAACTGGTCAAAATGCTGAAAAATGAGTGACTACTGAGTGCTCAGCTCTGTAAGAAATCTATTGTCAACATCCCCCACCCAACACCCAAGGCTCAGGGAACAAGGCAGAAGAGGGGACAAAAAGAATGTAAGAGGCAGAGGATGGGGAGGAGAGCTAAGAATGGCTGTGTTCTGGACATGACGTGGCTGTTGCACTCATGAACTCACAACAGCGGTAATGATCTGCAAAGATCCGACAAAATCAACTAGTCAACATTCTAGCAGGCAGAGAGGGACTGATGAAGCCCCACCCTTGGTGAGGACCTACTGGCAACTTATGGCTACCAGAGGGAGTCGGTCATTTTTTTTCTTCAGGGAGGTGGCCACTAGCAGGCAGCCCCGGTGCTCACCCATGCACATGTAGGTAACACTAACAGGACTCTGCGGGTTATTATTTTTTAAAAAATAAGACAACGACGACGAGAACAAGGAAGTACTGGGAAGGCCCGGGGGAAGTGTGAGGGGAGACCTGGGTTGAAGATGATCAAGATATTACCTATGTGTATAAAATTATCAAAGAATAATTTTAAAGTAGTCTAAAAAAATCTGTACCTAGACACATAATGAAATGTCAGAAAAAAATATGCCCTTATAAACAAATTCCAGCTCAATTAACAATGAAGACGAAACCAGGAAAAGGTATAAAAAGTACACATTATATACAAAGAACAGAGCCCTCAAAAATGAATGAATGAATGGCCAAAGAAAAAGACTGTCATCATTTATTAGACTATATATGTTCACTGCTAATTGTATTTCTAAAAATCGTTTGTTGCAGAAAACTGGTATAAATAAGTAAAATACCTGGACCCTAATAATAATTTAAAAAATGAAAGATATTTAAAAAATTGCAAAGTAGGAAATACAAGGACATGGGCTGGAAAGGTGGCTCAGAAGTTGAAAGCACTGACTGCTCTTGTGGGTTTGAATCCCAGCACCCACATGGCAGCTAACTACCATCAGAATAACTCCAGTTCCAGGGGATCTGACTCCCTTCTTTCCTTTGAGGGCACTGCACAACACAGATGCACTTACTTACATGCAAGGATACCACTCATACACATAAAATAAAAAAATAAATAATAATACAAATTTAAAGTAATACAGGGACACAGAGAGAGAAAGTTCAGTGGTTAAGAGTACTTGCTGATCTCCCAGAGGAACTGAGTTCAGTTCCCAGCACTCACATTCGGCAGCTCACAATCTCCAGCTCTGTAATGCCAGCTCCATGAGATCCAAAGCCCTCTTTAGTCCTCTATAGGCACCTACACTCAAGTGCATATACCCCATACAGAGACATACACATAATTAAAAATAAATCTTAAGGGCTGGGCATGGGGGTACATTTTTTTAGTCCCAGCACTTGTGAGGCAGACAGGCAGGTATCTATGAGGCTGAGGCCAGCCATGACTACATAGTGAATTCTAGGCCAGCTGAGGTTATAGGAAGACCCTGTCTGAAACAAATAAACATACAAACAAATCTTAAACCAGCCGTGGTGGTACATGCCTTCAAACCTAGCACTTTTAGTATTGAAAGCCTAAAAGTAAAGAAAATTTCTACAGACAATAGTAGTTAAATATATCAGTTAGCAACTTACCTCCAGTTTAAAAGCCAGGCCTACAAATGGGTGAGAATTGTCTCTTCTGGAGTTCATTAAGATTTTGGTGTTCTCTTTTGAGTCACTTAAAATAGAAGAAATATAAAACTATGAGACACAATATTTAATCTTTGTGTGTGTGTGTGCATGTACCTGTGTGCATGCAGAGGCCAGAGGATAACATCAAATGTGTTGCTCTCTACTCTTGGCCTTACTCCTTTGAGGCAGGGTCTCTCACTGAATCTACAACTAAGCTGGCAGCTGGCAGGCCCAGAGAGCTCCTGTCTCCACTCCTGACAGCACTGAGGTTACAGGCCTGTGGTGACACCCAGCTTTTTACATGTCTATTAGGCACCAAACTCAGGTCTTCATCGTTAAGCAGTAAGCAAGCTTACTGAGTCTTCTCTCCAGGCCCTTAATATTTCTTTCAAACCAATTTGTTATCAAAGAGTACACTATCTGAGAAAAAGCTTCCATTTGCTAAACATTTCTGACCTTACACACAAGTAAACTTTCATTGAAAGAGTCAGTTCTAAGGTGGGGCTGGTGCACACCTTTAATCCCGGCAGAGGGAGGGAGATGGCTATGAGATGAAGGCCAGCCTGGGATGGTTTGCACAGTGAAACTCTGTCTCAAAAAACAACAAAAAATTAGTCAAATTTTAAAAAAAGCATTAAGTTCTAAGGGTTCTGTCTCTGCACAGATAAGACCAGAGTAGACTAAAAATACCCAGGAGGTTTGGTAGTGAACAGAGTTAATAATAATCACTGACCACTTTAGAAAAGGTCTCTTTTTTGTTGTTTTACATTTTATTTACTCACTTGTGGGGTGGGGGTGGGGGGGTAGAAGGGAAAGCATATGTTGAGATAAGAGGACAAACTGCAGGAGTTGGTTTGCTCCTTTGACCAAGTGGGTCCTGGGTGTTTAAATCAGGTCATGGGGTGAGGTAGCAGGTGCCCATTTTACTGGCCCGAATTTCCTTTTTTTTTTTAAAAAAAAAAGTGTTTTGCCTGCAACTCTCTAAGTACACCCACGCATGCAATGCCCACAGAGGCCAGAAAAGGGCATTGGGTTCTCCTGGAGCTACAGTTAGGGATGGTTGTTATCTGCCATGTGGGTGCCAGGAACTGAACCTGGGTCCCCTGGAAGAGCAGCTGGTGCTCTTAACCACTGAGCCATTTTTCCAATGGCAAGTTTCCTTTTTTTTTTTTTTTAAGTTAAAAAAAAATTATATATGACTGAAAATAACTGGTTCCAAGTGAGAAAAAATTTTAATTCTATAGCATTGAAAGACAGAAAAACAACTCATACTTGTAAGTCACAAATATGACATGGGAACTGGTATAGTAAATAGTTCTATATGCCAAAATTAATATCCAACTAAAAATGGTGATTTTTGTGAAGGAAAAAAAAATCATGAACATTAACAAGAAGAACCATCCTTAAACCTCTTCACAATGTGTTAAAGTATTTTTGCATACACTAAGGTTCAGTGACAATACTTACTCCTGATTGAGTACAGCATAATTCTGGACCTCAGATGGATTGGGGAGGTATTCTAAAATAGCATCTAAAAGAGGCTGAACTCCTTTGTTTTTCAAAGCACTTCCCAAAAGGACAGGAGTAAACGATCTGCTCAGGGTAGCTCTTCGGATTGCAAGCTACAAAGAGAGAGATATGAGTGATGTCAACATTGTATTTTATGTTTCAGGTAAGTTACAAACCAACAAATAAAATAAACTGATACTCCAGAGTGCTGGCTCTAGTGTAGGGATGAAAATAAGGTCCCAGTAGCCCACAGTCAAAACA